TTCATTATATTTTACCTTCATATTTCCGAAATAACGCAGAATGCGACTTTGCGTTATTTTTCCATTAATCCCTATGTCATTAAACAACCGCACATTTGTTGTTTACATCTTCGGAAGACTGAAACAAAGAAATCTCTAGGGAACAGATTTTCAAGATTTTAATTTCTGCAACATATCACAAATATCGAACAACTTTAATTGCTAAGAATTATTTTTTAACTGAAAGATAACGGAGATATTCACGTTCTACCGATTACACGCAGCACTGGAACGCCAGTGCTGCTGTGTTCTACCAAAACCTATGACGAAGTGCTGACGAGGAGGGAGCGGCACGTGCAACATCATCTAACCATCACGCGAATGAAAAATAACTGCGTAGCCTTAAACGCAACACACAAAAGCTTCAAAAATATACACCGGTATCTAAAGTGCTGCCTGTGTCGTTTTAATGCGTAGATATGTAGCAACCACGCAGAACTGATTTCTTTTTGTCGCATCCTTTGTTGTGTAATTTGATACAACCTCGCAAAGTGCGTTTGTTAAGCTCAATTATGTACGCCAATTTCGATCGTACGAAAATTCTTGAGTTCTCCGAGTTGCACGCTATACGCTTGACGCCAACTGGTAACACACTTTCTTTTTTCCCCGTCGTACCTGCCGACGAAATTGCTGAAGGTGTCCAGGTATCTTCTGGAAATTATCCGAAAACTTGACCTAGTAAATTTGGGGGAAACAACCCGAAATTGCGCTGAAATTACACACCCGGTAATTTCCCAAAAAGTAATTCATTTCACATTATTCACGTAGATTTATTTCTTTCTGTTAGCAAACGACCAGACATGAGGTTAAATGTTCTGCGGAAAATATGTACATGGAATTGAACAGACTGGGAAAGCTGACATGACGCAGTTGAGTCAGTACAGTTTTCAAGGAGACAGACCACACGTAAGGAAAAACAAAACACTATCCATTAGCTTTCTAACGCTGAATCAAGTCGAGCAAACGACATTCACACACAGGGTCAACAGAAACAGCGGATATCGTTTCCCCACATACACATTATTCTACAAGTTACGCATAGATAAGCCAGTTGCATGGAATCAATGGCACATCCACCATCATATCAATGGGCAGGGATGTGAAAGTGGGCTCAGACGGATGGTGACGTTGACGAGCTCTGTGTCCACGAAAATCCTTGTCAGCATGCGAGCGGCAATCAAGCTGTAAAAAACAACTTGTCCGCATGCGTGCAGTCGCCGGACGGCACAACCATCCCAGTCATGTTAGTCTGTATGGCTTTCGAACTGTTCGACACAACCACCCGCAGCAGCACAGCAGATAATCAAGTGTAAAATCACGGATATTATAAAATAACACCCTGGAACACGCAGTCCATTAGCAGCAACCAATCTAGTTCTGTAATCAAGTCTCCCAGATACTACTTCACAAAAGTTGAGTCGCTATCTCCGTATAAGAGTCCAGCAACAAAAATTTCTTTGACCTACGGGCGGATCAATCGACTTTATGTTGCCCGGAATTGTTTCAACGTACCTCTGAAGACAGTCATTTTATTTGTACGTGATCGAATATGTACAGTATGAGGTAGCGGGCGAGTTCGAGAGCATTTACGCGGCAGTAAGGCTGTCAGGTCCAAGTGCACGTATCCGCCACCACCAGCGTAGCTCGGTGGATCAGCCGTAGTGTCCTCAGGATCGTCCGTAGATCATCTGGCAGTTAATTGAATTAGAAGTTCAGCGTCCACTGCCAATTACCGAGGTCCATCGGCGGTATATTTTACTGCATATAGGTAACGAATACGTCACATGAAATACTCCCGATGGGATAAGCATCGAAAAATTTGCTACGCGGGCGGGAAATCGCGCTTGGCACTGGATCAACCAGTCGACCTGCCGATATTGAGGGGCCATCTATGATGAAGTGGAAAAATAAACTAAATCAAAACAAAAAATGCATTGCTGAGAATTTCCACTGCCAGTGTTGTGTAATCTATGCCAGCGTTCCCACTTCCTGCGTTTGATTCACAACCCATGGCCGAAGAAAAATTTGCCACAGTAAGTAAAGTTACCTGAGGCGTTCACCACCGAGGTCCACAGTTCTGATAGCGGCAACCTTGCCAGTGGGAACATCCGACAGGGCTGCTGGATTATTCGGCTTTGTAGTAGGCCAACGTGAACGTCCGTTCAAACTAGACATCGGCAACCCAGATAAGTGGCAAAAACGTTTCGTGAAAATTATCGCGAATATGAACGAGGGAAACGAATAGTTGATAAATGTTGGATGCAAGAAAGCATTTGAATGCATTTATGCGTATATGCCCTTGAACCATAGCGGTCTAAACACTTTCACGAAGGTTTTAAGGTTTACAGAAGAGGTAACTGGAACATGTCAGCATGGATATGCGCACTTATGTACGTATGCTCATAATCAGTGCATATTAAATATTAACGGTGTGGTTATGAATTCGCATGCGTAATCATAGTAGAATTTATGGCGCAAATAATAAATAGTTACAAACGTGAATACGTATAAGCACAATCGTTAATGCAGGCGAAACGCGCCTGCAATGAAACCAAAAACGAAACATGCAACTAACCACAATACAACCGACGTAGTATTCCAAAACGTCAACCAAAGATGACGGTACAGATAGTGTTCAACGTTCGCAAACCGAAACACAGTAAGGTCTGTCTCAAAAAAGGTAAGACACGAGCCGACAATAAGCGCGCATTGACACAAAACAGATGCAGAGAGTTCAGAGTCACGTCATGTCCTCGTCCATATATACAGGGGTTTCCACGGTCCTGAAGTAAACTACCGACCACAAGTGGTTTGGCGATCGTTGACCGTTGAACTCGGGATGCGGTTGGTCACTGTCTTCTGTCCAGTACACAGATGAGGCTAACCCGCATGTACAAGGACCTGAAACGAAGCAGAAGGCAGCGTGGCGCAAGGATAGCGCGTCTGGCTGCAGATCAGAAGGTTGCATGTTCGAATCACGTCTGGCGCACCCGTTCTGTCATAACGAGTCTAAACTTTGACGTGATGTGACGGCTTACGCATCTCAGCAACCTATTTGGCTGAGCTGGACAGTGTGGCCACCACACCGACAGAGTCACTTATACCAGGCCGGCCAATAGGTAGAGGTCTGACAAACCAGTCTCCTAGTCCTCCAGGTTGGGGGTTGGAAAAAGGTTGGCATCTTTTTCCGAAAAATGTACCAGTTGTGGTACACTAACCCCCACCGGATGCCTTGCGGCACAGGCTATTGAGCCAAAAGCTTTGGTTGAGAACCCTAATTGTTCTCCTGTCTAGGTCTGGTCGTCCTGACAGTATGTCAGCCCACACGCAACTATGAATAGTCACAACACCAGTAATTCCATACTGCATCGGTCGTCTCGCAGTATAAACCGGGTCGCCCTATCCGCTGCATACAGCAGGGTGGATAGGCGAAAACATGCTACTGATGACCCCTCCCCCACTGTCCTATCAAATTTGATTCTCAGGTCCCTCCAGACCTCCATTTCTGATAGTAACTCCACAGGTCCCACAACAGATGTAGCTAATCGTGGTAGCACTGAACCGGTAAGTTCCGTCTCTTGCCATTCAGCTTCATGCCCCTCTCGCCCTTTGTTTAGACCTAGAATAGGAATTATTATGGATGCTTCCAACGTTCACACTGTAAGACAGATAGGTCAACAGGCCGCTCTCGCACGAACGTTAGACTCGTTGCAT